CCCATCCACTTATCTAACCATTCATCCATCCATCCATCCATCCATCCATCCATCCATCCACCCACCCACCCATCCATCCTCCCATCCATCCATCCATCCATCCATCCATCCATCCATCCATCCATCCATCCATCCATCCATCCATCCATCCATCCATCCATCCATCCATCCATCCATCCATCCATCCATCCATCCATCCATCCATCCATCCATCCATCCATCCATCCATCCATCCATCCATCCATCCATCCATCCATCCATCCATCCATCCATCCATCCATCCATCCATCCATCCATCCATCCATCCATCCATCCATCCATCCATCCACCCATCGTTGCTGTCATCTTCATGTTCACAACCTCTCCTCTTTGTGACTTGCTCTTCTCTACTCAGTGCCTTCTGCTCAGTGTCTTCTCTGCTTCTTTGTGGCTTGTGCATCTGCCTGTAAAGTCTCCGGTGGCCCTTCATCTTATTTCTTTTGAGTTCTCAAACATGTCTCTCCTGCTCCCTGGAAACACACTTTTCCTGACCCTGACTTCTCCTGGTCCCAACACTGACATTCCCTTCCCAGCCTTCCTGGCTCTATTCCTCTTGGTCCATTCTTGCATGCTTCCGCTTGAAGTTTGTATCAGGCAGCAAACTTCCAAAGGGGCTTCTGCTCTAGCCAGAAATCTAGTCGCAGTGGGAACCTGTACCCTCCTCCCCAGCCCCAGCAGGAATGTGCACTCAGCTGGCAGGCCTACCACAGTGTCTGCGAGTCCTTGGATGGCTCTTGGGACCCTTCACCTGCCCCAACCTAGCCCACCTGACTTCCAGCAACTTCCCATGGAATTTTGTCATAGCTGCCTCTCGCAAATGGCCACTTCCATTGCTTTCAGAGACAGTGTTGCCCTTCCCCCTCTGTTGGGAACACATCTCAGCCCACCTCTCCTGAGGCCTTCTCCAAATCTTCTAATCCAGAATCACTCCTTCCTCTGCTGGAGAAACCTGTAGTCAACTCTAGACTTCAAGATGTGATCCCATTTGGATGTCTCTGGCTCTATGTGGCACTAGTAGTTCAGCCTCCCAAGAACAGAACCCTGGCTCATGCGGCCCAGGGGCAGCTCAGCCCTGTGGACAATGAACATGGAGCCACAGACCTTACTCTTGATCCCAACTGGGACGTACATGATCCTGGGGCTAGGAGCATCACAGAAGGTGAGGGGTGTTCAGAGTGCTCTAACTGGCATAGCCTCCTATCCCTGGGAGGTGGCAGCTCCTAGCTTCCTTTCTCCGCACCCTCTCAGCTTCCTGAAATGATTGCATGCCCTCCTCCATCAGCTCTGCCTGTGTGGTAGGCAGGTCTACAGATGAGCAGGAAAGCCTGGGCTTCTGAGCTCATAGACCAGGGAGGAACTGCTGCGAGCTATAACTTGGGCCTCTCACCTAGAGGCCAGAGCCCTGTCACACAGCCCCAGTAGCTCTGAGGACTGCCAACCATGAGGGAGCTGCACTCACAGATGCCTCACAGAGACGGTAGAAGTCCACACTCAGGTACGCTCTGATGCCATCCATGGCTCCAGGGAGGGTAACACCGCGCAGAAGCAGGGCAGTGAGGACCACATAGGGCATGGTAGCTGTGATCCATACAACCTAGAGGAGAGGGCAGTGTCACCAGAGGACATGGGTCACCTGTAGTGGGGTGGTAGGAGCTTTTCCTAATGTACCTTGGGTATGTGGAGAGGAATGATTTGGGGCATGAGGATAGGGGAGGAGGTACTGACTATTGCTGGAGGGTTCCATGTTCTGGTATATGCATTATCACAGTGATGATCATTTTGGTTAACATTGCCATTGATACCTATGTAATCACAAGTATTTTCATAAGCAAGAACAAAATTTAAATTTCATGCTGGACATGCTATAATATGATATTAAAGGGCATGTGAGTGTGATATGCCCTTTAATGCCCTTCTCCAGACACAGTGTCTACCCTTAGCCACTCTGGCCAGGTGTCTACTGCTCCCATACAAAATGGCCACATGTCCATGCCCACCCAATATGCTTATACACCCCTTCTTTACCTAAACACAGCCATATGTTCATGTCCAAACAAACCATGTCCATTTGTCCACTCCCAACTCATCCATGCCCATGCCCATCTGTCTACTCTCCATCCAACCACACCCATGTTTCTACCTACCAACCATGGCCACATGTCCACCCACCCACCATGGCCACATGTCACCCACCCAGTCATGGCTACATGTCCACCCACCAACCATGGCCACCTGTCACCCACCCAGTCATGGCTACATGTCCACTCACCAACCATGGCTACATGTCCACCCACCAACCATGGCCACCTGTCACCCACCCAGTCATGGCTACATGTCCACCCACCAACCATGGCCACCTGTCACCCACCCAGTCATGGCTACATGTCCACCCACCAACCATGGCCACCTGTCACCCACCCAGTCATGGCTACATGTCCACCCACCAACCATGGCCACCTGTCACCCACCCAGTCATGGCTACATGTCCACTCACCAACCATGGCCACCTGTCACCCACCCAGTCATGGCCACATGTCCACCCACCAACCATGGCTTCATGTCCACCCACCCACCATGGCCACATGTCACCCACCCAGTCATGGCTACATGTCCACCCACCAACCATGGCCACCTGTCACCCATCCAGTCATGGCTACATGTCCACCCACCAACCATGGCCACATGCCCACCCACCAACCATGGCCACATGCCCACCCACCCACCATAGCTACATGTCCACCCACCAACCATGGCCACATGCCCACCCACCCACCATGGCCACCTGTCACCCACCCACAGACATACATCACCAGGCCCCAGTGGTTAGCACCTCACCTTCCCTGAGGTCTTTACTCCCTTCCACAGGCTGAAGTAGAGCAGGACAATGACTAGAACCAGGCAGGCCGTGAGCTGCCACCGTGGTGGGCCGAGATCATCGATGCCACGGCTCTGGTGGAGGTGCAGCACGCCACGCCTGGAAGGGAGGCAAGATGTGGTTTTGGAGGGAGTGGCCACCCCGCAGGACTGGGATGGGACAGCTGAGCTGGTCCAGAGCCCTGCTCGCCTCAGCTCTGTGTGGTGGGAAGCTCCAGTGTGATTTGACCAGACACCCCTTCCCACTGGGAAAGGCCCAGGGTTGGCCTCTAACTGAGACACAGGGTTGCCTTAAGATGGACAGAGAATCTGGGCCGTCTTGCTGGGAGGCCTCACAGGAAGCCAGCACCACCCTATTCCCTCAGCAGCCCTGAGTTTTGGAGCTGGGAGGAATGGGCAGCGTGGCTCTGCAGAGGAATGACGCCTACGGAATCAGAGGAAGGTACTGAGTGAAGCCACCACATGTGGCAGCCCCTGACACAGTCCCAGGGTCCTCTGCAGGGGTGGGACCAGGAAAGCGCTGAGCAGTAAAGCTGCACGTGCAGGTTCTTGTGCATTCTGAGCGATAGTGCTCACCCTTGCTTACACAGCTACCATTGCTCTGAGGAGGCACCACGGCCCCGAATTGCTTGATTATGGGTCAGCTGAGATCCCCAGGAAGTGATAATGTTCGGTCCTCACAGTGGAACACAGCCAACAAAGTTCCATCAGAAACAAACATCACGGCACCATGGTGGAGGACTCCATCCTCACAGTCTAGAATCACACCCGGGCCTGCCTGCCAGTGTCCGCAGCAGGGTGGTGGCAGCACAGAAGGACCAGCTCAGCACTCCTGCTCTGCTGCAGTGGTGGTCAGGGCCAGGGTCCCCGGGCAGGAGTCCTAGGTTGGCCAGGGAGCAGATGGTTGCCTGTGAAACTGTCATCATTGTTTTCTTTTTAAAAAATTTATTATTTTTATTTTATGTGTGTGAGAGTGTCGTCTGCAGTATGGAAGTGCACCGGGTCATGCAGTGCCCATGGAGGCCAGAAGAGGGCGTTGGATCCCTTGGAACTGGAGTTACAGACAATTGTTAGTCACCATCTGGGTGCTGGGACTTGAACCTGGCTCCTCTGCAAGACCAACCAATGCCCTTAACCACTGAGCCATCCCTCTGGCCCCCATTACTTTCTTCTTATAGAACACAAGTCGCTTGCTCAGCATTCTGTTCACTATGGGTGCTGTGCAAACTCTCAGTGCACCAGTGCGCAGACACGAGGCAAGCCACCTGAACTAGAAAGGCCAGGCCATTGTTCTTTACCAGCCCTACTTGGATGGTGGGGAATCCCAAGGCTCCTGCCTCTTGCCCTGGGCTGCTGCCCGATGTCTCCTGCTTTGCTGTCCCAGTGGGCCTTAGAATGTCTTACCAAGGAGAGAAAAGTCCCAGGACACTGCCCAGTCTCAGACCTACAGGGCATGTTGTATCCCTCTCCATGCCCCCCAACTACGCCTTGGAGCCTGGAGGGGAGGCAGCAGGTGGTTTTGGAGGGGAGCCTCACACATACGCTTAGATCTCACTTGCACCTGAGGGAGATGGTCATTTACCCAATTGCCTGGAGGGTAGTGCTCACAGAGCCAGGGGTAGGGAGTGAAGAGGGAGGGTGGGCACACAGACCTTCATGCCACAGCTGCACAGCCCTTTCCAAGAGAAGACTGTGGTGCTCGGGAGGAACATGGTCATGTAGGGTCTGGTTCCAGGAGCTGCCGACTCAAGGGAAGAAAGTCATGTTCAGGAGTGCAGCCATGTGGGATCTGGCTCCTGGATCTGCTTCCCCACATGGCTTTACAGTGATCATGCTAAGTCACTGTTGACACAAGCACCAGGATTGTGCTGTTTTGGTTGCATTCTCTTTTCAGATTAAAAAGCCGTAATGCTTTGGAGAGCTGGGCATGGTGGCGTATGCCTTTAATCCCAGTACTCAGAAAGCAGAGGCAGGTGGATCTCTGAGAGTTCAAGGCCAGCCTGGTCTACATAGTGAGTTCCAGGTCAGCTGGGTCTACAAGAAGACCCTGTCTCAAAAAGACCAAAAAAGAAAAAAAAAAGACTCAATGCTTTGGAGTATTTAAGATCTCAGGGACTAGGGGTTGGGGAGACGGCTCAGTAGGTAAGGTGCCCAAGCATTAGGAACTGTTAGGAACTGAGTTTGGATCCCTAGCACCTACATAAAAATCCAGGCTTGTTGGCACATATCTGTAACTCTGTGCTGGGGTGGTGTGGTGCAGGGGATGGGGTGGAGGGATCCTTGGAGCTCATCAGATCAGCTGGCCTAGCTGAACTGATGAGCTCCAGGTTCAGTGAGACCCTGTCTCAAAAATGATAAGATGCCCACTTCTCTTTAACGTAGTACTTGAAACTCTTGCAAGAGCAATAAGACAAGAGAAGGAAATTAAAGGAGTAATAATTGGAAAAGAAGAGCTCAAATTATCCCTTTTTGCAGATTATATGATAATATATCTAAGGGACGCCAAAAATTCCACACGCAAACTCCTAGAAATTATTAACACATTCAGTAAAGTGGCAAGTTACAAAATTAACCTACAAAAGTCTATAGCCTTTCTATATACCAATGACAAGCAGTCAGAGAAAGAGCACAGGGAAACCTTCCCATTCACAATAGCCACAAAAAAATAAAATACCTTGGAATAAACCTGACCAAAGACATTAAAGAGCTCTACAAGGAAAATTTTAACTCTTTAAAGAAAGAAATTGAGGAAGACATCAGAAGATGGAAGGACCTCCCATGCTCATGGATTGGAAGAATTAATATTGTGAAAATGACCATCCTACCAAGAGTCATATATAGATTCAATGCAATGCCAATCAAAATCCCCATGACATTTTTCACAGAATTGGAAAAATCTATCCTAAGGTTCATATGGAAGCACAAGAGACCCCAGGTAGCCAAAATAACCCTGAGAACTAAGAGAAAAGCTGGGGGGATTACTATACCAGATTTTAAGCTCTACTACAGAGCTATAGTCATAAAAACAATATGGTACTGGCACAAAAATAGACCCATAGACCAATGGAACAAAATTGAAGACCCAAATATGAGTAATTGCAATTTTAGCCACCTGATATTTGACAAAGGGGCCAAGAACATTAACTGGAGAAAAGACACCATGTTCAGCAAATGGTGCTGGCAAAACTGGATCTCCACCTGTAGAAGAATGAAACTAAACCCCTATCTATCACCCTGCACAAAAGTCAATTCCAAATGGCTCAAAGACATCAATGAAAAGCCTGAAACTCTGAAACTCTTAGAAGAAAACATTGGGAAAAACCTACAAGATACAGGCATAGGAAAGAATTTTCTAAACCAGACATCAATTGCTCAACTGGCCAACAACTCAAAAGAAGGTATCTCCTATCTGGTATTGTTGCTTGTTGGCTATACATAGGGACTCTTAAAAATTATATTTGCTCCTTTAATCTTTGGTTATACTTTCCTTTTGGGTGTTTAAGGCCATACAGTTGGCCCAGATAAACGAATTTATTTTTCCTCTTAAGGTCATTCGAGAATCTGTTCCTCACGCATCACATGGGCTTGGGAGGAGCTCCTGGCTCCTTTCTTTCACCAGTTCCTACAACGTGACAATCAGTCAAGGTTCTGCTCAACTATGGTTGGCTTTGCTTGGAAGCATGGAGGAAATGATTTCTCTGTGTTGAGCCTCCACTTTGTAGACTGGACACTGGTTCAGGTCCATCTGGTGGGTCTCCTTGGCCTCCTTTATCAAGAGGACAGGTGACCCACCATAATTAAAGGACATTTTGGGAGATGCTCATAGTCCCCTGGAACCAGTCAACCTAGGAGGGCAAGGAGCAAAAAGTGTCCTTTATGTCCCTCTGACCAAATTATTATGTGTCTTAAAGTATGTCTATTAAACATCCAAGAAGGTTAGTTCCACCAGTCTGGTACTTTTAATTACTGTATGTCATGTAGGTAAATCTTGAGCAAAGATCAATTATTCTCAGATAAACCTCACCTAGACATATATTTCTTGATCTTTTGTGTATAATTTGTCAGTAGGTTGTTGGAGTAATATGGTTCCCTCTGGTTTTTCAAACTATCTAGGCATTATTTATCTCTCGCATTGAATCACCCCTCCATCATGGTTTTTCCACTTAAGTGCCCCAATTTCCCCCCTTTCTCCCTTAAAATACCCCTCTCCTATGGTCCTACCACTCTTGAGCTCCTTCTTTCACTTTATCCCCTAGGTTCCTTATAGACCCTTCCATCCCCCATCCCTTAAACTAACCAAATTTTTATCCATATCTCCCTTTTTAAGGCCTGTCTCCTACTGTTCTTTTCTTTCAGGTTCTTTCTTTTCCTTTACCTCCCTGTTTCATTTCCATTTTCTTGATTCCTGTAGTTATGTATGGATACATACTCACTTATAAGGGTTTGGTTCTAGGATCCACATATGAGGGAGAACATGTCAATTTTTTTTCTAAGTCTGTGTT